TAGTTATATTCGTATACATATATAAATATATATATATTTGAATATATTAATGGGGTGAATCGTGTGTCTAGCCATGCTTGCTAAGGTTTAATCAAAGAGTGTATGTACCAGAGCTATGTGTGTTTCCTTTACTCGCCAGCGTGTCCGCTCACGAGTGTGGTTTCTATTCTATCTCTCCAGATCAACAAACTCGACACACGACGAATGGCGTACTATGACGAGGACATCATATCAAAGGAACGGACGCTGTACCAAGCAGCCAAGAAGAAAAAGTATGGCCTCTACGCACACCCTTACAAATGGCAATACAGTTGTAGCTGTGCGTATGTATGTGTTGTGTTTGTGAATCGTGCCTGCGAGGGTGAGTGTTCGTGGCATCGCCTGCTTAGATTTTAAATAGAAAGGTCTCCTTTGATAAATTTCGTTGAGGTGAGGAATGCTTGACTACATACCACATCATGTGGTCCGAAACTCAAACCCCAAATCTTCACCTCTCTAATCTCTGCTATCGAGTGACAGGGTTCTAAGGTTTAGGGTTCTGGGCTGAGTAGACAAACTGATCATATGTGCCATTACGTCATTGGGAATCGGTCCGTTTCAGTCCTAATTTTTTTGTCCACTACATTCTCAACTACATTCTCAATTCCCAATACTTCAGGCTTGCATCTCCACTGGTGGGCTTGGTCGACAGCCTGATCACTTGTGCCGAGAATGCGATGGAGTTCGGTCCTTTCTCAGTCACAAACAAATCGGAACTACCTCCCGGTGGAGACAGACAGGACTACTACTCACCCGCCCCATACTTCTGGCCTGACCCAGACCAACCAGACGGGCTGCCGTTCATGAGAGTTGATGGCAAGGTATGGATATATACTTCCACACACTTCTATATGGTATATATATATATATTATATATATATATTATATATGTATGTATGTATGTATGTATGTATGTATGTATGTATGTATGTATGTATGTATGTATGTATGTATGTATATATATACAT